ATACCTATGATCTCATCTTACACCTGTAATCAAGGCTTAGTACTTGGAAGTCAGGAGGATCACTGTGAGTTCAAGACCAGCCTGGGCTACATAGGGAGGCCCTCTTAAACAAATAATAATATTGATACGTGAGTAGGAAGCTTACAAATTTTAGAAACAATATTTTGAGACTCATAATTTACATTTAGCAAATAATGCTTTATTAATGTGATAGCTTGACTTTAAGACTTTTCTGGCTGTCATTTCCCCAAAGCCATTAGGCTCCAAGGTTCATATGTCCAACAAATTCATTTTTAATTAATAAAACTGAAAGTGACGTCAGTGGCTCTGGGCAGATGCAAGCTCACAAATCACTTTTGATCGTTTCTCATTCTGAAAGGGACGCTTCTGCAGATGCACTTGGCACATGCACGAAGATCTTGCAGACCAGGGTAACACCAGGATAGATTTCTGATGAATACTTTAGAATTAGAAATTTTTAAGACATCTAGAGCTGAGATTCTTTTTTTCTTTTAGGTCTTTTTGAGACAGGGTTTCACTATGTAATTCAGCCTGGCCTTGAACTCTCAGCAATCCTCCTGCCTCAGCCTCCCCAGTGCTGGGATGACAGGCGTGCACCACCACACCCAGCCTAGAACTACAATTCTTGCAGAACAGTTTTTCTAAAAAAGATTAACTCCTCATACAAATCAGGTCCCTCTAATTTCACTTTTCATTTTCAGTGCATACAGTGGTATTTTAATGTCCTGTAACTCCTGGTGGTTGTAAAAAACCAACAGTAGTTTTGTAGTTTTGTGATTTGCGTATGGTTCCATTGCCTTTTATACATTCTGTCAGTAGGGCTAGGGATATAGCTCAGTGGTGTAAGCACCTGGCTGGCAAGTGCAAGGTCTTGAGTTCAATTCCTGGTACAAAAACAAAACAAAACAACAACAAAAAACCCCCATTCTGCCAGTGTATCTTAATTACACAGAAATTCAGCTTTGAAACAGTCTTTCTTATTAATAGTTGTTTCATCAATGCCTGAAATGAAAAGTGTCCTTTGTGGCCTATGTGACCACCTTTACATTTGATCTCTGTTTCCAAGATACTCACTGAACAGTGTTTTAATTGCTTTTGGAAACTGCTGACGTGTTCTAATACCTCTGATATGCTCTGCACACCTCTCTGCAGTCCTAACTTAGTGACTCAGTTTACCGCCTGAGCCCCCAGTCTCCTCCTGTTATGCGGGCCAGAGCTGGTCTTCATGTAGGCGCCTCAGGCACAGGATGCCTCCTGTCCCCCAGGGAGCCCACTACAGCCACCATCACCGCCGGCACCCCAGGCCTGGCTCCCAACACACCCAAGGCTCGTGGCGCCCCAGCAGCACACGTGGATTCTCTGCTGTCCCTTGTCACTCAGAAAACACTAGCTCAAAGATAAAATTAAGATTTTAAAGGCAGTGACAACATAGCATTAACCCATCTCGATGCGCTTCTAAAGTACAGACAGGGAAGCTGGACACCCTAGGAGTCAAATAACGTCCCGGAGCTCTGCAGTTACTTGGTGGATGTGCACGCAGTCAGTGTCTGGAGCCACCGCTCCTGGAGCTCAGCTGTGCGGCTCAATCCTCAGTCCACGGCCCGAGCATCGCCTGTCATTGGTCCTCGGGGTTGTCAGTCTCTGCCAGACCCTGCCTAGAGTGACGAGGGGAAAGAGCCCAGGTGTGGGGCTCCCCTGTGTTTAGTCCCAAATGTGTGAGATCAGACTTAGCAGGCCTGTGGGGAGGATCAGCTGGGGTTTTTAAGCTGTAGCCTGTGAGCTGTGAGGACATCCTGAAGTCACCATGGTGAGCTGTGCCCAGCGCTTGTGTAACATGAAAGACAACACAGGGTCAGAGTGTGCCCTGGAGCAGGGCGAGTACTGGTGGGCGTGGGTTTTGGGCCTTGAGTCTGGTGCTGGGTCCCCTGGGAAACGCGTCTCTTCCTGGGCCTCCTTGTCCAAGAAGTCGGACTCAGATAAGGGTGTGACCGCCGGGAGGCCGGGTCACACCACAGGGTGTAGTCACCCTCTCATTGCCAAGGGCCTCCCCTACACAGTACGTCCTTCTGTCCAAGGGCAGTTCAGTCTGGTTTTGGGTCCCATCACCTCAAGGGACTTGGATTCCTGGGATACTTTAAATGCACCCAAAAAAGCACGTATTGCTGAGGCCTGTCTGGGGTGCAGTGAGCGGTCAGTCAGGGGTCGCATTTCAAGGAGCAGGCAGGCACCCAGGACTGCATTCCGGTGCCTCTGTGTCCCAGCCACATCCCGATGGCTTCAGCATCCTCTAACCCCAATTCACCCCAGATTGGACCAGGACAGAGGACAGGCTTGGTTCCATCCAGCGAGCGCCAGCTCAGCCGGTGGGGCATGCGCACACCAAGCTATCATCAGTAATGACCCCGTGCCTGGATCCTACAGAGCACCACGCCCAGGTCGTGGGCAACGACCTGCACAAACTGCACCTGCTTTCATCCATGCAGTGACCCCAGCAGGCATCCAGAGCCCCTTCCCTGGATCAGAAAACTGAGGCGCAGGGAGGAAGCGCTTGCTCGCTGCCCCACCCCAGCTAAGGTGCTCTGACAGTGAGTCTGGGTGCTGGCTGTGTCTTTCTGACATTCAGACAAGAAGTACACAACCTTGCTAGTCTGGCTCCTTGGTGGCAGGTGCGGAGGCGAAGGTGACAAAGGTGAAGGAGGGGCTGGAGGTCCTGCGGTGTTGGAGAATGGCGCCAAGGCTGCCTGAGGCAATATCCTCACCTCCTGCACCCTCCTCGCTTCCAACCTGTCCTTTCCTGCTTCTCTTGGTTTTACCTCTTTGTGTGGTTTTGTGAAAAAGCCCTGGTCCCAGGTGCCTGGAGCTAGTGGCTACCAATGTGCTGTGTGACCCAAGAGAAGCATTTTCCTTCTCTGGCACCAGCTGTTCTGGTGATGAAATGGAGAGGCCAAGCTGAATGAGCCCCAAGGTTAGCTTGGCATTCGTGTTAGGGTTGTCGGATACAACACAGGACACTCAACTACACCGGAGTTTCAGATAAACTTGTCAGTATAAACATATCCCAAATACTGCATCAACTTACACTAAGTTATCTGTTGATCACGTGGAACTTCGATTTTGCCAGGGTCCTGTATTTTCATTTGCTTTGCCTGCCAATCTGTTCACAGTCTCATTTGGACAACCCGTATGTTCTTGGTGACCCATCAAGCAGGTGGGGCAGGTCCAAGGGTGGCTCTTAGGGAGCAGCCCGTCTAGGGGGTGCTGGGAGAGTGTCCCACACAGATGGCTGAGTAGGGAGCAGGTGGTGCAAGGAAGGAGCTGGCTCTGAAAGAGAAAGATGCTCCTTTTCCTCCTCCTGGGGGCCCCATGGCTGCGGTAGAGAGCTGGGCTTTCCCTCAGACTCAGCCATGATGGAAAATAAAGCCAGCCCTTTGCTCAGGCACTACCAACAAGGATCAAGCCTCTCTACCCATCTGTGCAGGGCTAGGGGTGTCACGTGCATGACATAACCTGTGGAAAGCTCCTGGTGTAATGCAGACTTTGTGTGACCTTGCTGTCTACTCTCCCTATACTTTTCTGTTCCCTTCATTCCTCACCCAACCTGAATTTTGCTTAGAGCAGCCACAATTTTAGCTAAAACTACATCTCCCAGCCTCCCTTGCAGCTGGGAGCAGACATGAGCCGCCATCTTGGTCCTTGACATGCAATGGAGCATGCTGGTTGGTGCCTTCTAAAAGCTGCTTACAAGGGGGCAGAGCAGCTGGCACCCACATTTTTCTGTACCCTTTGTCTCCATCCTGCCTGAAGCACAGAAGTGATGCTAGAGGTCCGGCTTTGGGCAGAAGAACACCACCATATGCCGGGGGAGCTATGTAGAAAGACAGCAGGCAACTGGGTTCCTCCTGGCCTGCACTGCTTGCCACTAGACTTTCCCTTATGTGGTGATGTGCTGTGACCAGGCCTCTGCTGCAGTCAGGCAACTCCAGACCTGCTGCCTACACCTCTGTGCTATGCAGGAGCCACCCTCATCCCTTTCTATAGTTGCACACCCATTTACAGCTTCAAAGTGCAAAGGCAATCTTTCAACTGCAGTTGCTGTGTAACTGCCTTGTGCGCACTCCCTGGACATCCTGGCCAGCCCCCCACCCACCCTGTGAACACTTGCCGCATCTGCCTGGCCCAGGGCTCTCCTGGCCTGAGCCTACTTTGCTGCAGCGGCTCAGGTTAGAAGTAGAAAAAGGGAACCCTCCCACCCCCTCTCCCACAGAGACTGCAGGGGGCAGGGTGGTACATGCCCCAGCGCCTTGGCAGTGGGCAAGCTCCGGCCAGGGACCAGCTCCGGCAGCCTGGATAACCCACCCTGTGTGGCTGTCCTCCTTCCCTCTCTTCCTCCCTGGAGTCACCTCCCAAAGAACCCACTTGCCTGCAAATCCCGCTTTCAAGATTGGCTTCCAGAAGACCCCACTGGGACACGCTAGGGGACGAGGAGAATGGGTGCTTGTCTTATAATCCAGTGGAGAAAGCTGAAGTATCCCCCGAGTCACTGAGCCAGATCATAAGAGGAAGGGGTGGGTCCAAGTTCAGGGCCCCAGAGCCCAAGGCTGCTCGGCCCAGGTACTCTCTGAGGGAGCCTGATGTGGACAGACAGCGTTCTACCAGATCTTCGGTCACACTGTGGACTCGGGGTACAGGAAGAACACTCCCCGGACAGACACAGGACACAGGCAAAGTCTGCTGCTCACACACGCGCACAGTTTATTTCCCCCTCCGTCTGACTGTCCCTCTTCGAGGCCTCGAGCCCTTCAGCCTTCTTCCATCTGGGGTCCCGTGGGTGCTGCACTGGGACTGGGCCTCATGCTGCAGAGTTGGGAGGGGAGCAAGCGAGCTCAGCGCCAAGCCCAGAGGACCCTTGCTCTTTAGCCCCTGCTCCTGTCCCCAGCGGTCTCGAGACTGTTATGCACGGCAGCTGGGAAGAGCTCAGAGCTCTGCCACGACTGGCTCTGGAAGGACGAGCCCTCCCCGAAGGCTGGCCCAAAGGGAGGGCCACATGCGGGCGTCACTCTGCACCTCCGCAGCCCCAAGTGACCCAGGCGCCACCCTTTTGAGCTGTGTGAGCTCAAAGGCCCAGTCCAGGGCGTGCATGCAGGAGGTGCTCAGAGAGGCAGACCCGAGAGGTGGGGCCGGGAGAGGTGCAGGAAGCAGCGGCTGGAGCGAGGAGGAGCCGGGCTGCATATCAGTAAAGGTGTCCTGAAAGCTGCTTCCTCCACTTCACACAGGCCCAGCACCAGAAGGACACTCAAAAGGGCATGCCAGCCCCTCCTGGCACCACACCTGTCCCCAGAGTGCCCGGAGTCACCGCTGCAGGAAAGAGGCCACTGCACCCCGACAACCTCCATGCCCATGGCTCTCTACCTGCCCAGAAGCTATGGCCAGGGGCTCCCAGTCTCTGCATCCCCAGCCTGGTGCCCAGCTTGGGGCTGGCACCCATGGGTGCTGCACGAGGGAGGGTCAATATCACTGCCTGTCACTGCGTCCCCGGCAGCCAGCATGAGCTGGGGATGCACTGGCCATGTGGGACGTTTGTTGAATGAAGGAAAGAAAGAGTGGCTACATGCGTGGACCAGAGACCGAACAGACAGAAGTCTTGGCCAGGGCATCCTGGACCAGTGAGGACTGCGGGGAAGAGGTGGGCAAGGAAGGGGTGGTCGGGGCCTGAACGTCCAGCTCACCCGTGTCCGCCGTCTGCAGGCCGAGGCAGGACAGCAGGAGCGGCACGTTGAGGTTCTCCAGCTCCTTCTGCAGCACCAGCCCGCACGTCCGCAGGCCGGCCAGCTCCACCTCCAGCCTCTGCTGCTGGCTCTGCGTGCAGGGCCAGGGGACAGACCGATGACAGGCAGACAGATGGACAGGTGGACAGGTGGATCCAAATGTGACCAGGGAAGCCAGCAGACGTGGGTGTCGGTCAGCCAATAGACAAGCGGGTGAGGATAGACAAGAAGTGCACGTAACAGTACATGAGTAACTGCGGAAATGACGGGGTGAATAAGCACACAATAACTAGGCGATTGGGTCAATAAGTAAGTGGACAAGTGAGTCAGTAATGATGGCTTTGTGGAGGCTCTCACTCAGAGCACGGGCTGGGAAGGGCGATTCCAGGGGCTCAGGGAGCCGCCTGACTTCAGCTCCACCTGCAGGGCCTCGAGGGCATACACGAGGGACCCCAGACCATGAGCCGCCCTGGATGACCACAGCGTATGGGGTGGGCTCTCGGAAACAGGCATCTGTTGGGCCTTCTCCCCTCACCACCCCTGACCCCCACCCCTGCATCCTGGGGATGGCAGAGCTGCCTCTGGGGCTCAGCCAGGCCGGGCACTGTGCTAAGAGGGCGCCAGACCCTGAGGCTCCCTGACTGGCTACTTTCTGGGGATCTGTCTCAGAGGGGCTCCTGCTTGCAGGGTCTGGGGAACAGAGGTGTTTTCCTGTTTTTGAGCTTAACAATCAGCGCTCATCAGCAATCTTTTTTTTTTCCCCTCAAGGAGAAAGCGGGAACGCAGTCCCCTACTACCGCAAATTATTCAGTTGAGTTTCCCACATTTGGGGAAATCGCAGGGGTCAGCACATCCGGAGTGCAATGCACAAGCCTCACCCTCGAAAAACTACCTTCACGATTATGGTATCTCCTCTGCCAGGTAAGTCGCCAGCAAGCTTTAACAAGTGCAGGGAAGGCGCAAACCACACTCCGGAGAAAATGCATTCCCATGGGGTCTGGGGTGTGCAGAGGTCTGTGATGAAGCGGCTGTTGGTGGGAATGTAAGCAGGCCATGCTCCAGAGGAGTGCTGGGTACCTCTAAGGTACTGTGCTAAGTTCTCCCATGGGTCTGCTCATCCATGGCCACCCCGGCCCCTGGGGCCAGTCTGAGGCCACCACTGGGTGACAGGCAGTGGGGAAGACAAGTGCCTGCGGCCACGGCTACAAAAGGCACGGCCAGGGGTCGAGGCACAGATGGGGTTGCGGGAGGCTTCAGCGGGGAGTGGGATTGTCCCAGCGGGAGCTGCAGCCACCAGGTAGAGGACCAGGTGGCATCATGTGTGGCCCGTCACTCGGCCAGCTCAGGGTACAGGCTTCTGTGCATTGGGATGTGGAGGCACAAAACACACACTGTTTTGTTTTGTTGTGTTTTTCAGGACAGGCTCTTGTTGTGTAGTCCAGGCTGGCCTTGAACTCACTCTGTAGCCCAGGCTAGCCTGGAACTCGAGGCAAACCTCCTGCTTCGGCCTCCCCAATGCTAGGATTACAGGCATGCGCCTCCACACCCGGCTGACAGTGCCTTTCAGAAGGACACATAAGGCACACACTTGGGCAGAAGAATTGCACAGGGGTTTGCAAAGCTCTTAGTTATTTGGCTTTTTTGGTGCTGAAGATGGAAGCCATGGCCTTGCAGAGCCCCACCACGAGCATCACCTTTAGTGACCCCTGGTCTCCACCCTTGGCTTTCTGAGCACCGCGCCCCCTCCGGCTCCGCCCAGCTCGCACCTGGAACTCTATCAGCTGCCTCTGCAGGGCCTCCTGCTCCGCCTGGGCTCGTTCCAGAGTGCCACGCAGCTCCCCCAGCTCAAATTCCTTCACTGAGACCAAAGGCAAGAGAAGCTCTCACTGTCTGCCCTTGTCCACCCAAACCTGCTCTCCCTAGCTGTGCAACCCTGAGCCAGTTCCTTCACCTCTCTGAGCCATACCAGTCTGCCTCTCTAGAAGGAGGTGCGACCAGTGCCTCCCTCACACAGGTGAGGGCTGGGACCCTGGCACAAGAAGCCCCCTGGAAATCCTTTCAAAGAGTGCTTATGGCCTGTGCTCAGCCCCGGGCAGCATGCACAGGGGTCTCTGTGTCTTCCTCTGGTAACACAGGCGGAGCACAAGGAGAAATGGGACAGCACACAGGGGACTAAAGAACCACAGACGCCGCCCGCTGCCAGGCACAGGGGTGTGGGAGATCCTGCGGCTACACAGCAGGCCTGGCGAGGAGGCTGGGAAGAACACAGGCCTGAAGCCGGCAGCCTGGCCGTATATCTCAGCTTAACCGCTCGCCGGCCACGCGAGAGGGCGAGTTGGTCCCCGTCTGCGCCACGCTGTCCTTCTCTGGGTGGAGGTGGCCGCCGCGCGCCCGCAGCTCCTCCCGGAGAAGGAAGAGGTCCCCCACACACAGTGCTTCCACCTCCGCCTGCGGTTACTTCCCGTTCTGCCCCCTGCTTCTCCTCGCCTTCCTTGTTCGCTCCCCCTGAATGCTGGTCTATGAAGCAGGGCTCCCACCAGGACCCCAGAACCCTGGGTTCCACACGGGCCCGGAGTGGGGGCCCCACCACTCACTTTTCAGCAGTTTCCAGATAAACTCTTGCCAGAAGTGCAGGTCGAGGGAAGCAAAACTCCCCCCTGGAGCCAGCGCCCCAAGCCCAAGCACACTGGGGCGCTCGGCTTCCTCCTCCGACTTGGCCTGCTGCAAATCCCGACCCTCCTCTTCCTCTGGAGGTTCCAGGTGCCGCAAGTACTCAGCGGAGTCTTTCTCGAATTCTCCTAAAAAGCAAAGAGATCCGTGGCAAAGCTCAGCCTTCCATGGGCACAGAATGGGCTGCTCCATCATGCCAGCCTCTGTTGGCCCCACCTGGGGCCCCCAGCGGTGGGCAGAGGACTCGCAGTCCAGGCACTCAGTCCTGGGGGACGGAGGCAGCAGGGTGGGCTTCCTGGAGCTCTGGCTAAGAACCTGGCTTCCTGGACAACCCTCTGCAACTGTGAGCAAAAATAAATCTTTCCTCTGCCAAGTTGTTTTTCTCAGGTGTTTGTCACTGTGATGAAAAGCTGACCAAAACATCCTCACACCTGGTTCAGGGACTGGAAGGGGTAAGTGCTCGAGGCACTTTCAAACACATCCACCCTTACATCTATTCATCCACCCACCCATCCATCCATCCATCCATCCACTCATCCATCCATTCATCCATCCACTCATCTACTCACCCATCCATCCACTCATCATCCATTCATCCATCCACTCATCTACTTGCCCATCCATCCATCCATCCATCCATTCATCCACTCATCCATCCACTCATCCACTCACCCATCCATCCACTTATCCATCCATTCATCCATCCACTCATCCACCCACCCATCCATCCATCCACCCACCCACTCATCCATCCATCCACCCATCCACTCATCCACTCACCCATCCTTCCATCCATCTACCCATCCATCCATCCATCCATCCATCCATCCATCCATCCAGTCATCTGTCCATCCATCCATCCATCCATCCATCCATCCATCCATTCATCCACTCATCCATCCATCCATCCACTCATCCACCCATCCATCCATCCATCCATCCATCCATCCATCCATCCATCCATTCATCCACTTACTCATCCATCTACTCACCCATCCATCCATCCACTCACCCATCCATCCATCCATCCATCCATCCATCCATCCATCCATCTGTCCATCCATCCATCCATCTATCCACTCACCCATCCATCCACTCATCCATCCATCCATCCATCCATCCATCCATCCATCCATCCATCCATCCACTCACCCATCCATCCATCCATCCATCCATCCACTCACCCATCCATCCATCCATCCATCCACCCATCCATCCACTTATCCACTCACCCATCCATCCATCCATCCATCCATCCATCCATCCATCCATCCATCCAATACTCATTGAGGGGCTGCTGTAAGTGCCAGGCAAGACCCTGGCTGGTCCTCTACAATGAATTAAACAAGCAAAAACACCCCGGAACTCTTGGGGCTCTATGCTGGTGGGAGATGAGAGACGACAGTGGATGTGAGCAAGCTAAGAAGGGTGTGAGAAACCTGTGGACTGGTGAAGAGAAGTAGGACAGGGAGGAGGGAAGCGAAGGGCAGGGTGACTGCACAGGGGGCCAGGGACGGCTTCTCTGGGCTGGTGACAGTTCAGTGAAGGCTGTGCCTGCGCATGGAGGGAATGCAGTGCCCAAGTGGGGCGTGGCCGGGCACACGCTGGGGTGAGCACAGGTGCCAGGGGGCTGTAGCAGCACCAGCGAGGACTCGAAGAGGAGCCAAGGCCCGGGCGATGGCCTGAGTAGGTGGCCCTGTTAGCTCAGTGGCAAACTGGTGTCACAGCATGGAGGACTGGGGTTACTGGGGCTGGCAGGGGGCAGGGGCACTTGGCCAGTGGGGACACGGTGACGGCAGACAGGAGGAGCAAGCAGTGGTGGCCACAGCACTGAAGGGTATAGTTAATAACCACAGATGGCGCACCCCAAAATGACAGAGGAGAGGATTCCCCAGAGGATTGCCCACCAAGAAGACATGCCCGCTTCAGGAGGGAGATATGGGAACAAGCCCGAGGGGATCTCCGCGCACGCACGCCACTACAGTACTGGCACTGCACCTGGAAACAGCTACCCCTGCTCTCTGTCAATCAAAAGATACACTTAAAGGAGCCAATCCACACAGTGATCCTCGGAAGGCCCGCCCAGCACTGAGTGAGGTTCACTGGGCCTGTCCTGTGAACAGGGGGCCGTGCTGCTGGTGAACCCTCCCAGGGGGAGTAACGCGGCGGTGGTGCTTGGGCTCCCCGGGAGTTCAGGTCACCCCCAGGCCGGGCCTGCTGTGAGACGGGGTCACCTGTGAGGTTGTGCAGGTGCTGCCTGCCCAGCAGGTGCTCCCTCTTGTTGTGCCTCGAGCTGAAGCACTGGCGGCAGGTGCGGCAGTGCAGGTCCCCGTCCTCCGGGCCCTGTGGATGGGAAGGGGCTCCGGTGAGCAGGATAGGCAGGGCACAGCCCCGCTGAGAGGCCTTCTGGGGACAACCAGGAACTGGAGCTCGTCTCCAGGCCCTGCCACCGGCGGGAGAGAAAGTGCCAGGCATGAGGCAGAAGGGTTTGCCTCGATCCTTAACCACCGTGACCTCTACAACTGTGGGACAAGCATGTGTCCTGTGTGTGTAAAGCATGTGTCCACAGGTGCTCGTGTACGTGTGGAGTATTTCTGGTGGTGTTTTAGAACCTGGTCACAGCAGATGTCTCTGGACGCAGAGGCTGGATCTGAGGGACGGGGCTCAGGCCTGGGAGAGGACCCACCTCTTGATCAACTGTTTGCATATATATATATATATATAGTTTGTTTTACACAGGGTCTCACTGTATAGCCCAGGCTGGCCTCAAACTCAAGGATCCTCCTGCCGCAGCCTCCCAGGTGCTGGGATCACAGGTGTTCGCCTCCAAGCCCAGAAGCAGATTCTTTGCATTTTAAAATCATGAACATGTATTATTTTTAAACGAGAACCCTAGCTAGTTAAAAAAAGCACATGTAACTCTCTGCTTTTGCTAACAATTTGTGAAAGTTGTTAGACTCACAATGGAGCCCCTTTTGTAAAGCAATCACCAAAAATGAATGAAGCCGGGAGGTCATAAAAGGAGGGACCTGTGGTTATGCCTGAGGACAAGAAGTGTCACAAAAATGCCACAGCCTTGCGCCGGGGATATAGTGGCACAGCGCCTGCCTGGCAAGTGTGAGGTCCTGCATTCCATTCCTGGTACACAAGGGAGAAAAATGCCACAGCCCTGCGTTAGGGACACATAGGGACACATGCTTAACTGTCACCAGCCCAAAGAAGCCGTCCCTGGCCCCCTGTGCAGTCACCCTGCCCTTCGCTTCCCTCCTCCCTGTCCTACTTCTGTTCACCAGTCCACAGGTTTCTCACACCCTTCTTGGCTTGCTCACGCCTACTGTTGTCTCTCAACTCCACCACACACAGGGACCATGGCCCACACACAGGGACCTTGGGGCCACTCGAGATCCATCCCAGGGTGTGACGCAGTATCTCAACGCTGCTTCTCTTTCGGGTCCTTCTGCTCTGCTGGACCCAGTGCCTGGCATCTTCCTGCGCTTACTTTAAAACTGTGACTTAGCATCCAGCGGTAGAAGGGGTATTAGCCCCAGGTCCCTGAGACATCTGGAGAAAATGTCAGCGGCCACTGCTGTTTCCTGTCTGGTACCTCCACCCACCAGGAGGGGGCGCCACTGTGCCTCGTGTTCCCCGCAGCTGCCTGGAATATGCCCACATGGAGGGTAGGAGGTGAGCACCTGGCAGAACACGGCCAGCCAAGATGAGCAAAGAGGGGCTCAGAGAGTACTTTTTGGCACGGGGGATGACTGAAGCTAGGGCCGTTGTCCCAAGCAGCATCTGCAGCCCTTTTCATCTTTTTTTGTTGTTTTGAGACAGAGTCTCACTAAGTCGGTAAGTTGCCCAGGCTGGGCTCAAACTTGTGGTCTTCCTGCCTCAGCCTCCCAGAGAGCTGGGATCACAGGCATGCACCCTCACGCCTAGTTTCTCCTGACTCTTCACGGAATGCCGTCTCAGGATCGCTGCCCTCCGAGTCTCCTTGTGCTCATCCAGGCAGCCCATCCCGGGGAGGCACATCCGTCCCAGCAGCAGATGCCATCCAGAAGCCATCATGCACTCGCTGACTTGCCCTGCCAGGAGTCCTGGCCCACTTTGCTCACCCACATGCCCTCAACACTTGGTCTTGTGTCTCCAAAGCTGGGCTCCGTGACCCCTGGCCCAGGGGCTTGGCGAGAAAGGCCAGGGGCGAGTCTGGTGGCTGGGCCGTGCGCCGGCAGTGCAGGTCCTATGCCACGTGTATCAGGGTCACCCACCACCATCCACTCGGGACCCCACGTGACAGGGGTGTATTCTCCCACAGTTCTGGAAGCTGGAGCCCCAAACCTAGGTGACTGGGCCAAGGTGCATGTGTGGGGGCCTCTCCCTGGCTTCAGAAATCGGTCCACTGTGTCTTCCTGTCTCTCTAGGCTCTGATGGCTCCCTCTGTGGTCACCCAGGCTCCTTTTCTGGGTTCAGTATGCCTGACACGCGTGACAGTGACAGTGGGATGTCCCAGCCCAAGAGCCTCAACTTGGTCACTTCCTCACTAAGACGGCGCCCTTTGCCACGCCAGGCAAGACATGAGCCCAGGTACCGGGATGGGGCCTCTCTCAGGAGGGGCTGTTTCCACCTACGGTGATTCTCCCTTCCCAGACACTCACTTCGACGGCTGAGAAGTCAAGGCGCTCGCTCTCGAGTTCGCCTCCTGGGGTCCCTGGTCCTGGGGGAGACACAAAGGACATTAGTAAGACAAGAGATTGCCCCAGAGCAGGGCAGCAGCAGGGGGCCCAACAGCCCCTCTCTGCCCACAGCTGTCTCCTTGGGGGTCCCTGCTGCCTGCTAGGCTTCAGGCCTGGCAAACACCCCACAAACCACGGCTAACACCTGGCCAGGTACGATGTGAGACAAGGCAGGAACAAGATAAAATGGAAGCCAGTCATTTTTCTGTGTGGCAGACTGTGGGTGATACTTTGTTTTTTTAAAAGAAAAAGTTTATTCTGATGATCACGATCATATTTTTACATAGTAATCATGAACAAAATTATCATGTCTTCAATGAGGCAGTAACACATTTTAATTGTTTAAACGCTAAGCTGTGTTCGAGGGGCCTTTCCTCGTAACATGCCAGGTTTTGACACGATGACAATTTATACGCAGAACAAGGAGGGGCCAGGGGCCTCTGTGCAAATGAAGAATTAAGCAGGATGAGGGTTCTGGGCCGGGCATGTCAGGGAGCCAGGGTGGGCAGGGCGTGACAGCTGCTCACAGGGACGCTGGGGTCCAGCTGCTCTCTGACCACTGCAGACGAGGTATAGGTCTCAGGCACACTCTGTGACTCAACCTTACAGCCATGACAATGACACTATCAGAGACCAGGTGCTGGGGCTGAGCCATGGCTGACTCATTTACCGGACCGGTTTCCAGATGATGCTGGGTGGAAACCCACAAGGTACAGTAAGCCTGGATGCAGCTGCCTCTGGACTAACCTGGCCCTCGTGTTGTTTTTATTAATAAAACTTTATTGGCCCACAGCCATTCCCCTGTGTTTACACAGCACCTGTGGCCACTCTCCTGTTACAGCCACACCTGACGCTGCTGTGCCCCCAGTGGTGCCTTTGGCGCTATGGCAGGGTGCTGTTGGCATGCACACTGGTGAGCACTGCAGGGACACAGGGCTGGACACAACTGGTGTGGTCCATGCAGCAGCAGCTGCCCAGAGTGTGTGAGAAATGCAGATTCCTGGGCCCACCCCTGACCAGCAGATCAGAACCTGCATGTTAACAGCCCCCAAAGGTGTGCGCACGTTGGAGAGGCAGCTGCTCCGTAACTGCAGGATCCCTTCTCTTTCCCCTAACCTGAAAAGCACCCTTGGCCCCAGCAAGCGCTGTTCTCAGCCCTGGCTGCTGGAAGGAGCCAGATGCCTCCTCTCTCACCAGGTTCAGGGTGGGGCTGAATCATGCAAGAAGAAAGCGCCGTGTCCTGCTGGGCCAGGGAGGACGCGGGTTTTCAGTAGAAGGTGGACCCAAGTGCTCTGAACAGCAGGCTCACATGGAGGCCCACGCCCGCCCCACTCACCGCGCAGAGCCCCGTGGGCCGCCCGCCTCCGCAGGAAGGCCCGGTAGGCCTGGGAGCTCTGGTAGGCCTGCAGCTCTCGGATGTAGCGCTGCTTGTCCTCATCGGCCTCGTAAATGTACCTCTGGAAGCGGGGGACAGAGATTGTGAGACCCACCTGATCTGGGGCCTGGGTCCTCCTGTCCAACCAGCCAGGGCTTTTTTAAGACATTTTAAGAAGCCATGCTCAGCTTCTGCTTGCACACCCCCAGGGATGGGGGTCTCACCACCTCCCAGTTCATTCCTTGTTTTAAGGACTTGCACAAATCAAAAACTTTCCCTTCCATTCTGCTAGGCATGGCCTGAGGACCACAAGGAGGGCAGCACTGTCAGCCTCTTTAAGGACACTAGACTGGTTTTAAAATTTTTTTTTCCCCAGTACTAGGGGTTGAACCCAGGGCCTTCACACTCAACTATATCCCCAGCCCTTTTTATTTATGTATTTTAAATTTTGAGACAGGTTCTCTTTATGTCACTAAGTTGCCCAGGCTGGGCTCAGACCTATAGTTCTCCAGCCTCAGCCTCCCAGAGTGCTAGGGTTACAGGTACAGGCTCCCACGCCGGGCTAAAGACACTGGACTTCTACGGGATTATCACTTGTGCAAACTCGAGCACTTTACTCCACGCGGGGCCCTGGGTGGGCCCGTGACACAGCGATGGCTCAGGCTGAGCCCCAAGCCCGGGGATGCTCCCCAAGCAGTCGCATCCCCTCTGTCCCCCTCCACCAGTAACGCCGTCTCACCACCTCCCCTGGCCAAATCCAGCTCATCCTTCCAGACCATCGCAGAGTGGCTGTGTCCTCAGAGAGGCCTCTCTGATGTCCCTGGCTGAGCTGGTCACCTCTAGGAGGCCCCAGTCCCTAGCAGACCGCAGTCCCTGGTCCCCTGTCCTGGGCTGCACATGTCACACAGGGACTGGGGGCTGAAGACAGGGCTGTGCCTGGTTCCCAGCGGGAGAGGACAGCCCAGGCTGGGGTTTGGGACCCTGACGGGTGCCCATCAGTAGACTGAGGGACAGCCAGAGTCGGCCAGGGTCCTCCCTAAGAATGCATGGCTAAGTGAGATGCACAGCAATGCCTTATGCACTGGGTATTTTTGATACACATGATCACACGACAAGTACAACTGTCTAAAAAGCAAGGATGGGTTGGGCTGGTTCCCAACCCAGGGTGCCGACACTGCCTAGGCAGCCTCTTTCCTTGGGCTCCAGGGCCCTCCTGGCACTGTCCTTGGTCCCACAACTGCAGGGACTTGAGCTGGCTCAGCGGATAGCTGATGGTGTCAGGCAGAGATCCCTAGGCTGGGCTCTGGGGCCGAGGAGCAAGGACTTCTGAAGTTGTGACAACAACCAGAGACCTGCATCTTGGTTGGGGGGCTCTGCACCTCACTCCATGACAGCTGCCCTGAGCTTTGAAGTCACCTCGTGAATTTGCAAAGCCAGTTGTCATCTGTCTCTGCCAGTGGGCCTGGGAGTGCTAGGGGCTTAAGTAAGTGACGGAGGCAGCAGCTCTCGTGCCTCAGTACCCTGGGCTCTGTCTCCCCACCCTGTTCTGCTCCAGGACAGCAGCCTGCATCTTCTTGCTCCCAGCTGTGTCCCCAGCAGCTAGCACAGTGCCGGGCACACGGTGAGCACCCATGAATATTTTCTTTAAGTGAACAAAACTATATCAAGTGCGCTGTCCAGAAGTCTGGGGGAGGGGGAACCTTTTTCCTTTGCTCCACGGCAGAACCTCCTATGCTTATTAGACAACTCACCTGCACCTCAGGGATGCCTAACCCTGTTTAGGAGATGCTACGAAAGCAATGGGGAAGCGGGTGGTGGTGGCACATGCCTGTAATTCCAGCACTTGGGAGGCTGAGGCAGGAGGATCATTGTGAGTTCGAGACCAGCCTAGGCCACAAAGTGAGTTCAAGGCCAGCCTGAACTGCAGAGTGAGACCCTGTCTCAAAAAGACAAAAAGAAAGCAACGGGGAGCTGGGTGTGGTGGCGCACACCCGTAATCCCAGCACTGAGAGAGGCTGAGAGACTGAGGCAGGAGGATTGTAAGTGTGAGCCCAGCCGGGACAGCTCAGTGACTTAGTGAAACCCTGTCTCAAAATAACCATTTGGGCTGGGGATGTAGCTCAGTGTGAAGGCCCTGGGTTCAGTTCCCAGTACTTTTTTTTTAAAAAAAAGCAAGAGGGTAGGCGAGGGGCCCCTTGCCTCTGAGGTTAGAAAGACGGCCCTGCCTTCAGTGTGGACAGAGGGACGAGGAGGCTGGTTCCTCGCTGGCTCAAGGCGGCAGCTGCCAGGCCCTTTGCAGACAGGGACCCTCTGAATCCTGGGAAGAAGAGGACTCACTTGCTTCCTCTCCTGAGACAGCTGCGCCCACTGGGCAGCCAGCAGTTTTGTTATTTCCGTGAAAGGCAGGTCGGGGTGCTCGGCCCGCAGCTGGCTTCTCTGCTCGTTCAGGAAAATCACGTACCTGTGCAGGGAAGAAAGATGCACCAAGGCTCTGGGCGGTGGCTGGGGAGGGGGTGGTCGGCGGGTCTGGACGCTGGGTCCACCCTCTGTTTTGCCCATGTTTTCAATCTAACCAGCACAATGGAGGTCAGATCTGGGGAGGACAGCTCGCATCGGCTGCCTCATCCACAGCCTGATGAAAAGCCAAGTGTCCAGGAGAAGGGCTGCAGGGGACAGGAGGTGTGCAGACAGAGTGGCCTGGTATGAAGGGGGACAGTTCAGAGCCCCATGCTGCTTTCACAGGCAAGTTGCTTAGCCCACCTCTGCCTCAGTCTCCTTCTCTGTATGGTGGACACGATGCCACCTGCTCGCAGCCTGGTGCTTCACATGCCGGCCTTACACCCTCATGAGCAAGGCTGCATTTTGAGGAAGACAGAGAGAGGCGGGGGCCACACCAGTCTCAGACCAGAAAGCTCATCCCTGCGTGTCACAGGAACCCAGGAAGCCCCTTAGCTGCAGAACTGGGTACACCCTGAGGCAAACAGGAAACTGCACAGGCTCCCAGAAGGGAAAGGGACCCTCGGAGCGGTGACAGCAGCCGGCTGGAGCTTCACTGGTGCGGCACAAGGTGCAGAGGATGAGGAGTGGGCAGGGCACAAGGTCGAGGGGTGCTGGGAAGGGGAACAGGACCTTGCTGAAGGTCAACCAGCATGCCACGGCCAAGGAGCACCTGTGCTGTCATCCTGGAGTGGAAACCAGTCCTGCTGTCCTGGGCAGTAATCCCTTCCTTGCAGTGATCCAGGCCCAGACCCACTGTCCCCAAGCTCCCTACCCTCACATCTGTGACCCAAGTCCAGTCCTTCCCATACCAGACCTACAGCTGAAACAACAAACAGCCCACCTGCGCCCCGTGCCATGCAAGGCCCCTCCCGATCAAGGGCCCTAAAGGCACAGGAAAGCTGAGAGGGGTTCTCACCCAGGTCACACAGTGGGCCCTGGCTGTGACCTGCACTTCCGTCAGCACTTTCTTCCCACACCTTACCCTGTCGTTGGTGCACGGGGCACGGGCAGGTCCTTCTGTGGCTTCCTCTTCTTGCCTTTGGGCCACCCCCCTTTCCGTTTCTGAAACAAATCCACAGAGAAAGCCCTCGAGAGCATCATCAGCACTTGGCATATTCTCACCATAACATACAATGACAACAGTTTAGTGACGGGGTTCTCTGCACATGGGTGGCCTCTAATCTCCTCTCAGCCCTGCAGAGGGCAGGAGCAAGCATCCTCCTAGAGGGGAAACTGAGGCACAGAGAGAGCTACAATGGCTGCCCGGCATCAGTCAGCAGGGGTGGGAGCCAGGACTTTCCTTCCCGCCAAGCTGCATAATGTTCACCATGCACAATCAAGATGCAGCCATGGGTAAGTCACCAGGTTCCCAGTGGGATGGGACCCGGCCTTGGCACAGGGGTGCGGGGCAGAGGGGGCAGGGAGTTGACAGCAGAGCTTGAGTGATGCTCACCTGAGCTCTCTGTATCAGCCCTGCGACTTACCTGCGGTGTGGCATTTGGAAAATTAGTAATAGCTTTGTGCCTCAGTTTCCCATTTGCACAGTGAGGGTCATAGCTGTCTCATGGGGTGCAATGAGGGCAAACTGTGCTATTAGGCACAGTCCTGAGATCAGAGCAGGGAACCCCATAAACTCTCAACAAGTGCATGCTGTCCCAACTACACAAGAGCCTCTCCCAGCGAGGCCAGCGGGCAGGCAGGCAGCCGGGCCCCAGCCCACTCACCCCATTTCATTTCTAGGTTCATCAGCCAGGCGACTGAACCCTACTACAGTCGGGACCCTGTGCCATGCTCCGGGCCCACAGGCTGAGCAAGCACTGGCTTCAGAGTAACGGCGGAGGCTGATGCTGCACAAATCACTGCACCCATTCACCCGCTGCAGAGGTCGAGGCTACGGGCGCCAGACTGAGCACCCTGCTCTCAGGGCCCAGCTCAGATGTCCCTAAGCCATGTACTCATTGTGCCCAAAGTGGTGGAGAATCATCAATCCGTGGCCTAAAAATCTCTATCAAATGCAAGTTTCAGCTCCTGGGTTTCTGACTTCATTCCCACACACACCCTCCTTGGCACTGCCAGGGTATAAAATGCAGAGCAAGCCACTGCCAGGCCCGATGGGCCGGGACAGAAGCACAGAGGTGGCAGAGGACATCTGGGCTTAGGGAGCAGGAGGGCAGAGCTTGGGCGGGGCAGAGGCATAGAGCCAGGTGGTGACCACGTGTGTTAAGCAGATAAGGTGGAGAAGGAGCCAGGGTCTGGGCACACAGTAGGTGCTCAGTGAGAGCCACTGTCACTCACTCCAATGCAAAGACAATGCTGACCTGCGGAGCTGACAATGAATGCTGCGCAGAACGACCTTCAGCACCACGGACAGCCCCAGGCTACAGCGGGCCTTAGGCTCCTCCACTGACTGCATGGAAAGGTCACCTTTTCTGCGCGTGCATAGTCATCTCAGGCTTTAACACGAGCACACTCTGGACCTGACCCTCCCATTCCCCACTTGAGGCAAATCCCACGTCACAGGAAGTCCCTTGGATGATGTGACGTGGCCCCTGGCAGGCACTGCCAGGCCCAGAGCCCGCAGTAAAGTCACAGCTTCCGCTAGACCTGGCGCCTCCACTGGATACTCAACTGCCTGGGCTCAGGCAGCACACGGGCCAGGTCCCCTCTGCCCTAGATCATGCAGCCACTTTGTCTTTCTACTTGGCCCCTCTGATGCAGCACACAGAGTGCGTGTTGTGTGGTTGGAAGGAACACTTTAACACCTTGTATCACAATTCTCCGTACCCTGGTACTATCGGTCAAAAATCAAGGCAAATGTGCTTATGGGTGTGCATCCTCCTTGGCCCTTTGTTTCAGCCTCTTTATTAAAAAAGTCCTTCCTGAGTGCTTTCTTAGTTTTCCCAGAAATCTTAGTGGCTGAGACAAAGGCTCCAGGGAGGCTGCAGGGATCTTTTCCCACAGAGCTTTTGTTCTTGCTGAACGTCTCATGCAGGGTTTTCTGAAACCAGCTCTGCCCTGAATACAGCCAGGCAGACCTCGAGCTCAGCATTAGCACAGGGCGTCACCACGTGGACAGCGTTGCCATGCACTCCGGCACTTCTGCTAGAAAGGAAAGGGCAAGAGAAGACACGCTGAGCAGGAGAGATGGGTTTTTAATAAGAGTGGAGCCTGCGGCAAGCAGAAAATCCACTGAAGGGGAAAATTCAAGCAAGAGAAATCTGTCCTGATAGGATTCTCCACCAGTGAAGACCTGTGACACTCAATTTACAGCAGACAGTGCATTTAGGGTATTGGCTCTACAAACGGGACTTTGTTTTACAAAGAAAACCTCCTTTGGGAGGCAGTGAGGCTTGAGTGACAGCACAGTTCCGTCCCAGGCCAGCCACGTATGACTGTTAGTCCCCAAAAGGCAGCAGTGGGTCAGGAGCTAGCACCTGTAAAGGGCTAGGCATGGGGCAGGAACTCGGCACACCTTCCCTCTCCTTAACGGGAAGGAGCAAGACTGAAGCAGGAAGCAAGCAACAGGGCTCTACAGGCCCCAAGCCAGGCTCAAAGACAATGTGTGCAACGCGAAATGTCACCCACTTGGGACCCGGATCCCAGCCTGTGGTCTCTGTAGGGTTTGTTTTTCTTTTGGTACCAGGAATTGAGCTGAGGACCTCATGCTTGCTACAAGGCGTTGTGCTGCTGAGCTGTATCCCTGGCCCATCTGTAGGTTTTATCAACAAATTCCTTAGCAACATCCAGTTCTGCTATTTCCATGTGGACAATGGTTCAGTCAAAGGCACACAATACTCCCCGCTCATCAGAATGGTGAAGAGGTTTTGTTTCCGCTTTGCCCCACTGCTTCCCGAAGGAGGTTTTCTTTGTAAAACAAAGTCCCCTGTGCAGAGCCAATACCCTGGAGATGGAACCCAAGACATTCC